GACCCAGTTTTCCCAGCACCATTTATTGAACAAACTTTCTTTGCTCCAATGCATAGTCTTTGCTCCTTTGTCAAAGATTAGTTGACCATAAATCTGTGGGTTTATTTCTGGATTTTCTATTCGATTCCATTGGTCTGTATGTCTGTTCTTGTTCCAATACCATGCAGTTTTGATGATTATGGCTTTGTAGTAGAGTGCTGCTTTAGAGATCTTATGAACTCTGGGAAGTCAAAGCATTAAGATTGTTAATATTGTCCACAAAGTAAGAGTATGTAGGACTGAAGGAAAGATAAAATGCCCTCCTCATGAGCAAATTAGCATTAACTTTAGTGCACAGATCTTGACGAGTTAGTCCTGTATTCCCAATGTCTAATATAATACCTGACAAGTATAAAGTGATGAATAATTATTATTTTAGTGAATGGAAGTTTAGATTCCACTTTTTATTTCATCTTCTGTGTTCTTTGATGTATTTATGAAGCCTGATTTCTTACATAATTGACCATTGTGTATTAGAAGAACTGTTTTAATTATTCCATGATCAATATATGCAAAACTTTGAGAAATGAACTTACTAGGTAAATTTCAAGCTATTTCTTGAAGATGAGGCCTTTTGAAGGTTAAGTCAGTGTTGTTTTACATCACACTTTGTAATTCTCAGTTTTATAAGTGCTTTGGTATAGTCATGATCCACAAATAATTTGTTCAACAACCTAAAGTTCTACATTGTCATTCATTTCACCTGTCAATCACCCTGCCCAAGTTAAAAATAAGCAATGTCAGGATAATGAAAACCGTGGTTAGAAAAATGAATACTAAAACAAACACCTCTTTCTATTGCATGAATTATATTAAATCAGCATTGCCACCTCAAACTCTGGTAAGTATTAGTCTAGAGCAAGGGTGAATGGTTATTCTCCCTCCTGTAGAGTTCTTTTTTTCTTTTTGCTGGCATCTTAGGGAATATCAGACCTAAAATTCAGGCATCCTGCAGGCTGTCTTAAACATGATGATTTTGAGTGGGTGATACATTCATCTAAACTAATCCAGTTAAGGGTAAATTAAGAGAAAAAAATTTACCAGTGCTTTTCTGCTTCTAGAAGAATATTAATTGGAGTGTGCACGTATTTGCACTTTCTGCAAAAACTCAGGCAAGAATAAAGGAGAATCACAGTCTTAAATTAGTAGTGACCTTAGAGTTCGTCAGTGCTACCCTTTCATGTCCAAAGAATTTAGTTTTTAAAACAAAATTTTAATGTGCTAATTTAAGCTGATACAATTAAAAAGGCATAGCAGTTTATTCCAGAGTAACTGTGTTTATCTCACATGAAGGGAAATTGCAGGTGGATTACTGTCTTAGGTAATATTGGTCATATTATGTCAGTAATTAAGACTGTAATTGTACTAAATTTTGCTTTGCTATTGATGCTTCTTTTCAATTAGGAAATATTACATGATTGATATTGGGAACATGGGATCTTTTCTATTTCTTTACATTATTAATCTCCAATATATTCTGAATATAGACATAAGTTTTATATGTATGGCAGATTCAAAGGTGATATTAAATTATGCAACAATTATACATAATAATTTGCAACTATTCAATTTTTAACATTGTGTACTTGTTCTGAGATTGTGTACTTGTTCTGTGACCTGGACAAATGGCAGGTCACATTTTACTTAAGTATGCCTGTTTGTTTGAAATGGCAAAATCCCTAGAACTATGTGATTTCACGTATGTGAGTGTGTGTGTGTTCATGTTTACAGTTCACAGACAAATACTACTGCATCAATCATGAGATATATTTTCTCCTCATGCCTGAAAATGCAAATTGTTCTAGGTCAACTGCTTAGAGGTCTTGTGTCCATCTCTTATGTCTTGTTTGCATTTTGTTTTGCACTTATTCCAAGTATACACGATTCATTTTGCATTTGCTTATTATTTACATATTTTTCAGTTGTGTACAAAGTTTGCCCTTGGCTTCCTGAATGCACTGGCTAATATTTATATACAGCCGTGTGCCTTACTGTGCAACAGCCTCTGTTCTAAATTTCTAGACGTAGGAGCAGGCAATCATTATATATATATATATATATATATATATATATATATATATATATATATATACACCACCTTGAGAACTTATTCTATTCATAACCAAAGGAATATTAACCAGCAAATAGGAGAGGTCATAGCTAAGTTAAGAAACAGATATGCTTTGTTGTTTTAGAATTGCACCTACCAGTGCATACCTGGAAAAGACTTTTTTCAATGACGGCATGAGCCCTAGCTTAGAGTTTCACAGATCTGTATCCCATTCTAATTACCTTGTATGAGCTGTGTGACTGTGTGTGTGCTCTGTAACTTCTCTCAGCTTCTTTATTTCCTGAGTGATAAAATGACCATACTTGTCCCACGTCATGGATTTTTGTAAGCAACAGGAAAAATATATTTAACAAATCACCAGTGGTGCACTATAAACAGTCTCTGTGTTAAAAAATAAAATAAAGCTCTGATTTGTATTGATTTGTAGTGTGATATAAATGCTCCCATTATGACCAATTTTAAATGAACTATGATTGATTTAACAAGTACCTGGAAAAATTAGTGAATATTAAGTAGTTCCATGGTATCAGTCAGGTCAGGCACACCCATTATTATTTCTCAAAGAATGTAATAACTATTTTTTAAAAGTTAACATTTTGTCTTCCACTGATCTAAGAAAAAAAAAATATTCTTTGGTCAAGTTTTGTATAGGTAGAGGATGTGAAAGCCTAGAAAAGAATAGTAATTTATAAGATTCAAAATATTAATAATTTCAAATAACATAAAAGAGCTACCTTAACAATGTTGAAAGTCAATGAGAAAATGATAAGGAAACATTTTAATAATAAGGCGATATATTAGTGAAGTGCTTTAAAAGTTTGCCGTTTTAGAGATGAGTTAAATTTGTTAATGTTTTTGAGACTGGTTAATAATAACTCAGCTTTTCTGGTTTTATGTGGAAAATATATATTTACTACCTTCATAAAGAAAGATAATCTGAGTTAATATTTTAAGACCCAATGCTTTATCGAAAAACTTCCTTTAATTTTATCCAATAGCTTTTGTATTTTTCTTTTCTTTTTTTTAAGATTATATTTATTTTTATACAAGAACCAGGGTACAGACCAGATGCGTGGGAGAATGAGAGGATTCACCAGAGACAGAGCAGGGAACAGAACTGGCAGACTGGTGAAATACACTGCTGAGGGGAGCAGTAGGTGAGACAGGAGAGGTCTGCTGTGCCATGTAGGATTCTTGCCGGCCTGCTGGCTGGGATCGAACCTGTGCTTCAGAGGCTGCGGACAGCTTCACAGCGCTGCGCTCAACTGCCTGTGCCACCAGGAAGGCCCCGGATTTTATATTTTTCAAGACTGATTTTAAATTTTAAAAGTTTGTCACAATCATGTATTTTTGAAATAAAATTTTATTGAGTAACCAGATGATTATTTTTGTTAACAATTAAAATTTCCATGAATTGTCTGAATGTTATGGGTAATGCCTAGAATACCAAGTTCACATGTTGAGAACATGACAGTGAGGATGACTGTGCATGTCAGAACCAAAACTGCTGCTGTCCTGCTATATGAGAGATACTGTTTGTACTGTGTGGTCCCAAACGCAAATCCCTATTTCTCCAGGGATACAAATATCTCTTCTTAAATGCATGTGACTGTGTGCTCATTTACTGTTCTTCAAAATATAATGGATGTGCATGAAAATATATTTCATGAAGTAATTAAAATGGGATTTTGGGTATTTATCAGATTTTGAGAAGGTGAGACCATATCATAGTTCTTTCCACTGTATAAATTAATATGCTTGTCGGTATAAATTGCCTTTATGGTAATTACAATTCTAGTATAGGGACAAAGGTTATAGGGATAAGCTAATAAACATTTTTTCAGGTTCATATAACATAGTTAAATAGAAAGGAGGGCACTATTTTTCATTCACACAAAATATGATTACTTCTTTTCCTTGTGGAAAGATCTATGATCAGATCAGCATTCTGGAGAAAACCAGTGGGTATGTCTATATATTTGATGCCCAGATATGGGGAAATATCAGTAGGATGTTCCTTCATCTATCTATTGGACTCTTTCCCACACACACACACAAAAAAAAACAAATTAATTAATTAAATGAGTCAGGGTAATATGCTCCAGTGTTGCTTTAATGTGAGCATACTTTACCTGTGGTTGATACCCATCAGAAATAAAAAAGGATATATTTCAAGGATTCTAAGAGCAGAATTTCCCTAGGCAATTGAGTGGTGCTGCTTCTTTTATCACTTTGCTTTTCCCCTCTGGATCAGATTTTGTTCTCATGCAATTCATTTTGCAAGCAAAAACCAAAACCCAGCTTCATTTAGAAAATGAAATATATTTAGGATACTTTGTCAGCTTATTTTTTAAAAACATATTTCTCTCCTGAGCTACTTAGGAAATGAGCTGAAGGGATGGAAATATGAAAAATCCTACTTTATTAAAATCTTGGATTTAGGGCTTTTCTTTTAGATGAAACACTGTCTAGCTAGAAATTATTAATATTGAGTTAGATATATAGGCTTTGGAGCAATAATTATAATAATATCAATCATTTATTAAATGTGTATTGTTTACTTGACACCACAATATATCATTGATCCTCAGAACAGGTCTACAAGTTGGTGCTTTTATTCTCTACTCCCACATGTAAGTAAGACTTGTGGAAGGAAGTGGAGGTAATTTGTCCAAGTTTATGCTGCTGGTGAGAGATGGAATGGGACTTTGAGCTAAGGCCAACTGATATAGAGTTCACATTTTAAACACTCATTTATATTGTCCACTGAAATTCATCATACCTTAGAGGTGTGTTGAAAAAATGTGCTAATAGTTGCTCCCCTTCTGTTTTACTGTGGATGGCAGCATGGAATCTCTGAGTCATTGACACCCTGTTTTTCTGCCTGTAGGCCCCTGGGGAAGGTGTACAGGAGACTGTGGGCCAGGAGGAGTCCAGACTCGGGCACTGTGGTGTTTCCATTTTGAAGGGTGGACAAGTCACCTGTCCAACTGTGATGAGAACAACAGGCCTCCAAAGGAAAGAAGTTGCTTCCGAGTGTGTGACTGGCACAGCGACCTCTTCCAGTGGGAGGTGTCCGACTGGCACCACTGCATGCTTGTTCCTTCTGCCCAAGGCCATGCCAAACCCCGGACTGCAGAGTGTGTGACTGCTCAGCACGGGCTGCAGCACAGGACAGTGCGCTGTATTCAGAAGTTGAACAGAACCATGGTTGCAAATGAAATTTGTGAACACTTTGCCCCCCAGCCCCCCACTGAACAAGCTTGCCTCATTCCTTGTCCCCGGGATTGTGTGGTATCTGAGTTCTCACAATGGTCCAAGTGTAGCAAAGGATGTGGGAAGCAAGTGCAACACAGAACTCGTGAGGCCATTGCCCCCCCTCTCTATGGAGGGTCGCAGTGCCCCAATCTGACTGAGTCAAGAACCTGTGAAGTTCCCGTTTCCTGTCCTCTTGGGGAAGAGGAATATACTTTTAGCCTTAAAGTTGGACCATGGAGTAAATGTAGACTGCCTCCTCTTAAAGAAATTAACCTAAGTGGAAGAACTGCCCTGGATTTTAGTTCTGATTCAAAGGAGCGAGTCACCTTTAGACATCAAAGTTACAAGCCCCATCACCACTCCAAGCCCTGGGACATAGAGATAGGTTTTCAAACCCGGCAGGTTTGGTGTGCAAGAAGTGACGGAAAAAATGCTATGCTAAGGTAGGAGGCCTTCATGTCTTTCTTTGACCTAAGATATTTTACTGTGAGATTTTGTAAAGCTTCTATGTAATTTTCTGCAGAGGGAAATTTTTAAGTTTGGGATTTGGGTTTCTAGAATTTTCATTTGGGAATTTTTCAATTTTAATTCTAAAAATAAATTCAAGTATAAACCAGCAAGGCTCTGAATCCTTGAAAAATTATTTGTGCCGCTTTATAGGATAAGTCATATATTTCCACATTTTATGAAAATGCCCACAAGTATTTTAAAGTTCTTTTGTTTCTAAAACAATAAAAAACGAGTCTTTCTTTAGAATGATAAAAATTAGATACATTCTTATTGGAGTAGAAAATGCATAAATTTTGTGTTTCCAAATGTTTAATTTTTTTAAATTATTTTTGTTTTTGTCTGTTTACTCTTGTTTGTAAGATTAAATAGACTCTTTTACACCAGAGTTATGGACAGTTTCATAGTAGCAAGGGTACCTTTAAGTTTACCCAAGAATGTTTTCTTGAGTATAGGTTTGATAAAAATACTAACTTGAATAGCAGTAATTGGAATGCATATCTATAGAAGTCATGCACTAAACATTTTTTTATATATTTTATTTTTATATTTCGATTGCAACCCCCTTATTTTGACCCCAATCCCTCCCCTCTCTGCCACCCATCCCCATAGAGTGTCTCTGGTTCATAGTTGTTGGTTGATTTTGATTTTTACTTTCTTATAGTTATTCTTTTTCCTGGTCCCTTATTTAAGTTTTCTAGATTCCTGCTATGAGTGAGACCATCCGGTATTCTTTTTCTTTCTGGCTTATTTCGCTGAGCATGATCCCTTCCAGCGCCATCCATGTTGCTGAAAATTGCATGTGTTTATCTTTTTTGAATGCTGAGTAATATTCCATGGTGTATATGTACCACATCTTCTTGATCCAGTCATCTATTTTTGGGCATTTGGGTTGTTTCCAAAGCTTAGCTATTGTAAACAGTGCTGCTATAAACATAGGGGTGCAGGTGCTCTTTGGAATTGATGTTTCTGTGTCCTTTGGGTAAATACCTAGGAGTGGAATTGCTGGATCATATGGAAGCTCTATGTTTAGTAGGTCCAGAAATCTCCACACAGCTCTCCATAGTGGTTGGACCAGTTTGCACTCCCACCAACAGTGCAGAAGAGTTCCTTTTTCTCCACATCCTCGCCAACATTTGTTGTTGCTAGTTTTTTTTTTTTAAATATGTGCCATTCTCACTGGTGTAAGATGGTATCTCATGGTAGTTTTGATTTGCATTTCCCTGATTACAAGTGATGTTGTATGCCTGTTGGCCATTTGCATTTCATATGCCTGTTGGCCATTTGCATTTCCTCTTCAGAGAAATTTCTTTTTAGCTCTTCTGCCCATTTTTTGACTGGATTATTTTCTTTGTGTTGAATCTCATCAGCTCTTTGCAGATTTTTGTGATCAGTCCTTTATCATTAGTGTTGTGCATGCACTAAACATTTTAAGAGCAATTAGTTGACATTTCAAAATTATTTTAATTATTTTATTTTACATCGTTGTATAAAATAGTGTGCTCTAAAGTGATAGAAATATATTAAATGCAGAATTCAATTTTTCCTCAGAAGGTCTTAAATAGAAGCATTGTATATTACCAAGATTCTTCTAAATTTAGATGCTTCTCAATAGTATGTCAATTACCAAACAATGATTATCTTTAGGAATAATCATTACTATCAGTTGCTGTTTTTTCAGGAGTCACAGTTGATGGCAAAGACTCAGAATACCTTTTCATTACATGAACAAATCAATGTGATGATTGCTTTTGTGTTTATTTGACTTTACAAATAAGCATATTTTATATTTGCTGCTTATTCTGATTTATGCCACATATAATAGGAAGGTGCACTGAAGAGTGATTTTCTGTCTTGTATTGCTTCTGTGAAGCCCAGAGGATAAAGAAGATAATTTGGGTGATTATTGCTTGAATGTGTATATGGGATTCTCTATAAACATTCTTTTGTTAATATTATATAGTTTTGATGCAGTGAGCATTATATAGAATATTTGCAGTTTTTGTTTGCTTGTTATTACCATGTTCTTTTTTTTTAAATGAAAACACTTTTTAGTGCAGTTTTAGGTTTATAGGAGAATTGAGTGGAAAATACAATTTCCATAAGTTCTTTAAACTCTCACCCTCTACACTCACAAAGCTTTATCACTTCTCATGCATTGTTAAAACTGATGAGCAGTTTCTATCAACACATTTCTTTGGCCCATAATTTATATTAGAGTTCACTCTGTATTGTACATGCTGTGGTTTCGTCAAATGTATGATGACCTGTTGCTATTTGTGCATCATACATCATAGTTTTATTCCTTTCCAAATTCCCTATATTCAAACCAATTAATCCCTTCCTTCTCCCCAAATCCCTGGCAACCAATGATCTTTTTTCACTGCCTCCATACCTTTTTCAGAATATTATATAGTTAGAATAATACAATATTGATCTCTTTTGATTGGCTTCTTCTGATTAGCAATATGTTTTCAAGTTCCCTCCATAATTATTCATGCCCAACAGGTCATTTATTTCATTTTTTTACTGAATAGTATTCTGTTGTATAGATGTATGACAGTTTATTCACTTACTGAAGGGCATCTTGATTGTTTCTAAGTTTTGACAATTATAAGTAAAACTGTTCTGAACATTCATGTACAGATATTTACATAACATATTTTCAACGCATTTGGTAAATACTAAAGGACATAATTGCTGGGTATTATGGCAAGTTTCATTTTGTAAGAAACTGCCAATCTATATTCCAAAGGGGCTATATCATTCCCACCAGCAAGAAATGAAAATTCTTTTTTTTTAGATTTATTTATTTATGCATACAAGAGCTGGGGTATTGGCCAGAGGTGCAAGGGCTGAGTGGATTCACCAGAGACAGTGGGGAACAGAACAGGCAGACTGACTGAAATACACTGTTGAGGGGAGCTGTGGGCGAGACAGGAGAGGTCTGCTTCGCCATGTGGTTTTCTTTCTGGCTGGCCAGGGATTGAACGTATGCTGCAGAGACTAGATTGCTTCATAGTGCGGTGCTTAACCCCTTGTGCCATGAGGGAGGCCCAAGAAATGAAAATTCTTATTGCTCTAAATCCTGGTGAGCATTGGTGTTACTAGTATTCTGGAGTTTTCAAAGTGTATAGTGATATCTCACTGTTTTATTAGCAGTCCCTTAATGGCATGTGATATTGAGCATCTTTTCGTATTCTTATGCACCATCTGCATATCTTCCTTGGTAAAGTGTCTGTTCAGATATTTTGCCAATTGCTTGAGTTGTTTGTTGTCTTATTGCTGTGTTTTAAAAGTTTTTGTACATTTGGGATACCATTCCTTTATTGGATATGTGTTTTGAAAATGCTTTCTTCTAGTCTGTGATCTGTCATTTCATTCATTTTACATTTCCCTTGATAAATAAGATATTCTAAAAAAGTAATGCTGTCCAATTATCATTTCTTTCATTGAGCATTCTTGGGTTTTGCATTTAAAATAATTTCACCAAATCCAAGGTGAACTAGATATTCTCCTATCTTATCTTCTATGAATTTTGTAATTTTTGCATTTTACTTTTAGATGCATGATTCATTTCTTTAATTAATTTGAAGTAATGTTGGTTTATACACTATATATGATTTACAGTACAGATTCACACCTCTTCAGATATATATTGCCACCTAACATCAAAAACTGAGTCACCCGTAGTGCTCCCATCATACTCTATTGTAAGCTAGTTTTTGTGACTATTCTGATGTTTGTGTCTGGATACATTTTTGTGCATATGGGTTTTCTAGTGGTTCTACTGCCATTTGTTAAAAAGACTGTTCTTTCCCTGTTGAACTGCATTTTTTCCTTTGTCAAAGATCAGTGAATTATATTTGTATGGATCTCTTCCTGGGCTCTTTATTTTTATTCCACTAATCTATTTATCCATTCTTTACATTAGACATTGTCTTAAATACTGAAATTTTGTATCTTAAGTCTTGAAGTTGGGTAGTGCCATTTCTTTGAATTTGTTCTTTAGTATTGTGTTAATTGTTCTGCATCATTTGTCTTTTCCTATGAACTTTATACTCAGACTGTCAATAATCATGAGACAGTTTGCTAGGATTTTGATTGAGATTGCTTATAATATATGGATCAATTCATGTGTCAATAATAGTAAGTCTTCCTATCTACCACGCATGTGGAGTACCTCTCCTTTTATTATTTTATTGCTTTTATTCAGTCTTGATTTTTTTTCATATGTGCACTATTTTGTTATAGTATTACTTAAGTATTAATTTTTATAAAATATAATATTTATATAAATGTATTTCTGTTTTTCATTTAAATTCCAATTTTTCACTGCTGCCATGCAAGAAAGCAATTTATTTTCATATATTAACCTTAGATCTTACAGCCTTCTTCTAATAACTTATTTTTTTTTCAGAGAATTGTTATTATTTATGTTGATCTTTTTGGGCTCTCTTTTCAGATAAATATGTCAGTTTCAAACCAAAACAGTTTTATTCCGTCCTGGCCAATCCGTATAGCCTTCATTTCCTTTACTTGTTTTATAGTGTTATCTAAAATATCAAGTATGTTGTTAAATAGGTGTGATGAGAAGATATGTCCTTATCTTGTTCCTGATCTTAACTATAAAACATTAAGGTTCTCATCACTAATTACATATGATGCTAACAGTTGGCTTTTTGTAGATGTTCTTTATCAAATTGAAGAAGTTCCACTCTATTACTAGTTTATTGAGAATTTTCATCAACATAAGCATTTATGGTGAATTTGCCAGGTGATTTTTATGCATGCTTAGAGGTGGTTGTATGATTTATCTTCTTTTGTTTTTTTAATATGATAGATTGCATTGATATATATTCAAATACTGATCTAATTTTGCATATCTTGAATGAATAATACTTGGCTATGATGTAATTTTTTAATATATTTTGGG